GGCAAGCACAAGGGTCTGAGTTCAATCCCCAGTTCCACCAAAAAAAAAAAAAAAAAATCTAAACTGTTCCTCTCAGTGACTTACCAGGTCTGCCATAAACTGGCCCCCACAACCTCTCTTTTAACTGTTTGTCCCTTTGCTCACAATGGTCAAGGGCCTGGCCTCTCAGTTCCTGGAGTCTCCGAAGTCATTTCCACCTCAGGGTCTTTCACTCGCAATTCCCTCTCGCTGAGATGTTCTTATCCTGTATCTTTGCATGGCTGGCTGGGTCCTTCTTGCCACTCAGGCCACTTATTCAGAGAGGCCTTTTCTCTAAATTATACCCGTTTGTTGCCCTTCATCATGGCACCTGGATTTACTTCCATCTTAATCTGATTATTTATATACACTCTGTTTCCCTCAACAAGGCTGTGAGGGCAAAAACTCCCATACTCCTGTTTTCCACTATGTCCCCAGAACAGTGCCTGGTACACAGAGACCTTCAAAATGCACATACGAAAAGAAGGAAAAGAAAAGATTTTTCTACTGTTTAAATGAAGAAAATGAGGCTTAGAAAAATCAGTTAACCATAGTCATCCACCTACAAAGTAGGGGAGTCTGGACTCACCCACTCTCTTATACTTATGCCCCTGGATTCCAAACCACTAGCCTACTCTCCCCGACTCCCTCTTTCTTCCTCCAAACCTTGGTGCTCAGTTTCTGGAGACTGGTCCGAGAATGGAAGATCCCATGGTCATTTCGATTCAGCCTGTGCAGGTAAAAGAGAAGATCTGGCATGTGGCCCAGCCCTGACGCCTTGGCTCCACATCTCCAGCTCAGGCCTCCTCACCTCCCATGAGCCCACCTGGCCTTGACATCAGCTGCTTTCTCCTGTGCCAAGGCCCACACACGCTCCCGCTGCCCATACAGTTTCCGACTTCGGCTCAGCTCCCGGACAGACTGCAGCACCTCAGCCTGCGCCCTTTGGAGGCTCTCTGTTCCCTAGTGGCATGAATACAAAGTCCTGACTGAGCCATCTCCAGTCCCCAACCAGCTCTTCCTTCACCCCATACACTTAACCATACCTTCCTAAGCACCTGCTCCTTGGCACTCCGTCCTGTGCCCCCTGCTAGGTCACGGAATCGGTCAGACACCTGGAGCCGGGTTTGGCCTCCTGCCACGGTGGCATCCAGCAGGGAGCGCCAGGCAGCAAACACTGTCCTGTCCCTCCCCAGAGAAGGTCTGTGTTAAAGAGGGGAACACTCCACAGCTTCATGAGATGCCCCCAACACTGCAGGCGGCAGAGTGCTTTCCCTTCCCCCCCTTGTCTGGGAGCCCATCAATCGATCAGCCCATTAGCTCAGCCACAGGATCACTCGTGCCCTCCACCCTCACCCACAGTGTCCTTGCCGGGTCAGCTCCTCTCCTGCTGCTGTGTCAGCTCTACCTGCAGTTCACATGCCCTGCCCCCTCACTAGCCCTTCATTCCCACAGGTCTTGGGGGCTGAGCTCCTCTTCACTCTAGGCCCCTGTGGCCCTCTGCCTCCATGAGACCCACCTGCTGTCCATCTCTCCACTCCGCTGCCCCTCCCTCTTCAGGAATGGCCCAGCCAGCTTCTGTAGTGCCTGGTGAGAATGCATGCCAGGCTCAGTTCCCATTCCAAGAGCCAACTGGGAGAACACAGGACCAAAGGATACCATACTTTGGTTGTAGAAGATGTCTTACTTGCCTTGCTAAATGCCTTTTATTATTACAGTACATTTAATCCTTACAACAACCCTACATGAAAGTGAGGTATTAGTATTCTTGTTGTTTTGAGACAGGGTCTTGCTCTGTAGTTCAGGCTGGCCTTGAACTCAATATGTAGCTCAGGCTGGCCTCAAACTTGTGGTGATCCTCCTGCCTCAGCCTCCCAAGGCTGGGATGACAGGCCTGCACCACCACACCTAGCAAATAAGACATTTTTATTCCCACTTCACAGAAAAAGAAATATTAATTAACTTGTTCACAGTAACACAGTAAGGAGCACAACAGAGATTTGACTCTAGGCATTTGTTCTTGGTCATAACAGAGGGTGTACAGGAGGCCAGAACAAGAAAGAAGGCCCAGAGAAGAGTTCCATACCTGTCCATACTCCCGTTCAATGGCTGCCCTCTGCTTGCTGTAGGATCTGTGGAGATTGTCAAGTGAGATGGAGATTACTAGTTGGCTTTGCTATCCCACTCTCAATCCTTTTTTCTACCTAGGCCGGTCCAAAGTATGGCTACACTCAGGGAAGAGTACTGAAGAAGCAGTCCTTGAGATCACCTCAGCTGCCGCACACCAGACAGGCTCACTCAGTGTTCGGAACCCCAGCAGGATCCTCTCCACCCATGGAGGCCATCTGTGGCCTTGGAGGTGAGGACTGCTGGCGGTCCAGGTTCGGGGTCCTCCAGCCTTCCATCAGATCTAGAAGGATTCTGCCCTTAGCTCAACTGTGGGATGAGACTGTGGCGTGGTGTCGAGTTTGAGGACGCTCCTTGTGTGTTTACATGTGTGTATTTCAGTACCCAGAGTCAGGCCTAGGTGACGCCGTGACGGGTAAGCCCGAGGGCTCAGCGCCCCGGCACGCCCCCTCCCGACCCTGGCAGTCGGAGGCTAGGCAGGAGAGATGCGCGCCACGGGGTGTGAAAAGCCAAGGGGTCAGGGGCTACCTGATGTCCTCCAGCAGATCCGCCTCCCTCTGCTGCCGAGTCTGAAGGATGCTTAGCTGCTCCAGAAAGCGAAGCTTCACCTCCTGAGCCGGCTTCACCTATGGGATTCAGGGGAGGATAAGGCTCCCCGGCGTGGGGACCTGAAAAACACTCCGCGCGGGGACGGTGAGGGGGCGGGGCCGAGAGGACTGAGTCGCGTCCTCCGCGGCTTCTGCAGTAGGCTCTGACCCCTCCCCGAACCCGGTTTCCCGCCCCGGGTCGGGGCCCCTTGGGTTCCCTCCACTCCCCAGTCCCGCCAGGATTCTCCATTCCCAGGCCCATCTCACTTTTCGGGGCGGCGGCTGCATCTCCGCTCTGGCCAAGGCAGCCAGCGACTCGACTCCGGAACTCGAGAAGGCCCGGCCCACGACGGAGCCCCGCCCCTGACCTGGCCCGGATCCGCCCTCACCCCGCCCACGCCGGGTCCAGCTACGCGCACGGCGCGGAAGCGCTAGGGGCTGCCGGGCAGCCAAACCTCTGTTACTGCTGCGAATATCCAGGAAGGGCCCAGGCCACGGGCTGGACGCAGCGTCTGCTGGGAGATAGGGAGAACCCTGGGCTTCTGAGTGAAGATGCCTAGGTTCTATTTCTAGGGTAGCCAAGGATTCAGCCTGTAATTATATCTGGTCATTCATCTGCATATGCATCTCATCAGTCCCAGAGCTATCGGTGAGGAATGACAACTCAAAAGGTGACCAGGGAAACTGAGTCACGGACACCTGAGTGAAGATGCATCTGACGAAGGGAGACAGGGCTGGTTCCATACCTTTTCCTAATTCCTGCTAAACTTGAAAAGCCAGAGTGAGCAGGTTGAGAAAGATGCCTGGAGCCAAGAAGGAGCCAGACCTAGAGGAAAAGACGGATACCTCCTGGGCTCCACTGGACACTTACAGTACCAGCGAGGGAGCAGGAGCTTGGATGTTGCACACGGGGCCTTATGGCAGGGAAAGCTCCAGGGGACGCCAGGCTCTGCACACCAAGATCTACCAGTACTAACCCTCCTTTCTCAGGATCCTCACACCCTTTCCTCATCCACCTCACCTAAGCCTCTGTGGCCTATGTCCAGGTTCCTAATCATATGACAGGGTTAAACTCCAGATTCACAAATCCAACCACCATGGATACCTCCACTAGTGTTTAAGCAGGTACTGCAAATTTTTAAAACGACCCCTTCCATCCGATGTTCCCTTGGCCAAGTGTTAAGTGGTTCCTCGCTCCCTTCAGTTAGCAAAGTCAAAACCCAGGAGTTAGTGTGCCCTTTCCTCTGCCCCCCACATCTCATCCATCACCAAATCTCACAGGTTCTATTAAAAGAAAAAAAAAGCCCAAAAAACCCCAAACCAAAACCATGCTTCTATTGATCCACTTCCTTCAGTTTCCAAGACCACTGCCCTCGCCCAAGCTCCCACGATGTTTTCTGATCTGATATCTGGTCTCTTTGCTTCCAGGTTTCCTCCCACAACACACTTTACAAAGTAGCCAGTGATTGATTTTATTTTTAAAAGAAAAGCAAGATGCCATCCTTCTCTTGCTTAAAATGCAATTGCTTGAAAATAAAATTCAAACGCCTGAAACCCAAATAGAACCCATGGCCTACAAGGCTGACTGGCCCTCTGGACCTTCCCATTCACTAGTACTCTTCTCCCACTGGCCACTTGCTGTGTTCCCCTGCTCCAGCTTCTTTGCTGGCTCCCCTCAGGCCAACTGCCTTCCCACTGCACAGCGGTCCTGCCCTTCCTGAAGCCCCTTTTCCCAACACCCCACCTGTCTGGACTCTTACCCTTGTTCAAGCTCCTCAGAGACCTTCCTTTCCCTGTCCACCCAGTGTATAGGCCACCTCCTGTCATGCAAGTTTATCACTTGATTTAGTTTCTTCACAGCACTAAATTGACTTTTTCATGTGTCTGTGCATTTTCTGTTTGTTTTTCCTCTACAGTGGGAGGCGCTATAAGAACAGGGACTTCATTTGGATCTGGTACTCAAAACATATTGAATGAATGAATAAATAAAAGAATGGTAGTCATTTGGTTCCAGGTTTATTACTAGTGATCTACCCCCCTCCTTTTTGGCTCCCCTTCTCCCAGCTCCCAAGCCCAATCAATTTCCCCATCCCAGGGATTCACTGTATTCCTGGAATATAGGAAGTGGGATAGGGTAAACGTCTATATCCTCCAGGTCTCTGGCTTCCAAACCTGTTTTTTTTTTTTTTTTTTTTTTTAACGCAAGTAAAACCATACTTTTATCCCAAACCTCTCACAAAACCCTTACATTTCAAATATATAAATCAAGAGCTGCTCTTGTTGAAAGAAAACATCTAGGGCTTACAGCCATGAAACAGTTTGGTGTTCACTCCTATTTCAGTGACTTCTTGGTACAGATAAATGGGCTGAGGCCACCCAGAGGAACAATGACCTGCCCTGAGAGCTATGGCTTCCAGGGCCCTCTGATCAGTGCTTCTTCCGTAGCATCACAATGGAGTCTAGAGCCTTTCCAGCCAGAGCAGTGGAAGATCCCAGCAGTGTCTGCCATGGTGAGAGCCTGGGCCCACCTCTGGGTACCTACCCCCTGGGCTGCAGGTCCCAGGGTCATGTCAGAGGCTAGCTAGAAGGCAGACTAGAAGTACAAGGGGGCTGGGAGGGGAAGCCAGGTGTCTGTGTTGCAAGACCATTGGGGCTGGATGACTGGGAAGGGTTTCCTGGACATGTGGTGGTCTCTCCCTTCCTCAGGATGAGGCTGCTGAGTTCCTGGAGCAGCTGCTCCTCCAGAGACCCCTGTGCCTGGGGAATGCCTTTTGAAGGGGGCCCTGGAGGGGGCTCAGGTGGCCTCTCCTCCCAGCCCAGGGCACTGGAGAGAAGGGGTTGATCCAAGGACCTCTGGCTGGCGATAGGGCTCTCTGGCTTGGCTGTCCACTCTCGTGTGGTGGAGAAGCATGTGGAGGTCTCCTTGGTGAGCTCCGGGAAGTCCCCTACCTCCTCATACACCGGCTCCTCATACACGGGCTCCTCCAGCTCCTCTTGCTCATCCACAGACCCCTGGGATGACTTCATCGGCTGTACAGGAATAGGGTGGCAGGGGGAAGACACAGAGTTAGTTACTGGATTATTAATCACTAACATTTATTGATCTCTTCCTCTTAAGTCAGATGCTGCAAAACACTTGGCATGTACAATATCAAAATGTCTGTGCAGTGAATTGAACTGGGTTACAGAGGGGTTAAATTGCCCAAGATCAGACAGTGAGGGAATGATAATCACAGGGCTTAAGCTGGTGTGTCTGACTCCAAACTGCGTTCACATAACCACTTTCCATGTATTTCTCAGATTCTATGACCACTTTCCCCTTTCCTCACAGCATCCTACCGTCCCTCATCTTCCTCATTCTTTCTGACCCCTTCCTCCTCTGCTCTCTGCGCCTGCCTCAAAACAGACACAATGAGCACACCCAGGACTCAGGCAGCACAGAGGAGCACAGGACTGGCAGGCATGTGGTTGCAGCAGGCACAGTACTCACAAAGAACATGGACAGGGTCCTCCGGTTGTGGAGTCGGCGCTGGGCACATGTAGGATGGGGACGAGAGGAGGGAAAAACAGACACAGTGAGGCCTGGCTGCAGGAGGTGGGGGTGGAGACTGGGGCACAGAGAAGGTGGACAGCAAGGCTGTGGCGAGCAGAGGGGAGCACCAGGCTGGCAGGCACACAACTCCCTCCTGGAGTTTCACAAGGGTGAGGGCAGGGACCAGATGGGGGCTAAGGCAGGCTGGGCAGTGGGTGTCTCACCAGGGTCTGATTGGCAGAGAGGAGGGTAGCTCCACTGTCATCCCCACGGATGGGCAGCAAGGGCATAGTGCCAAACTTTTGACGGGCGAGGTCAGAGGAGGAATGGCGTCTTAAGACCACTGGCTGCTGGTCATCATGCTAGTGAGAGATTGAGGGGTTGGCACCAGTGGGCTCAGGAGGTAGTGAGGCGTATAACTGGGCCCCAGAGAGAGCTGAGACCCAAACCTCAGCCTTTTTCTTCCTCACCTGAGCTTTAAGGATGCTGGTAGTCCAGTCCCACATCTCCTCCTCATCAGTGCAAGCCAAGTAGCTGCAGGTGATCAGAATGGAATCAGTGCAGAGAAGGAGTCACAGCTATGGAGAGGAAGGAATGGAGGAAGGAGAGCAGAACAGAAGGCAGGGTCCTAGGGTCTGGGCTGGGCCAAGAAGGAGCCAGGCTGGGAGGTACTCACAGGTGCATCTTCTCCAGTATCAATGTGAAGCCCCACCTGGGATGCAAAGGAGAATCATGATGGGGTGACCATAAAGGCCAGAGGGATGATGGCAGGAAGACCCTAGAAGTGTGAGCTAGGAAGATAACTCACGGTGCCGGAGGCTTTAACTTCTTGCGAATTCCCAGGTAGACCTTGGCATTCTCCAGTGGCCACTCCCGTTCTGGTTTAGAGCTCTGAGAACACAAACAGAGACAGAGATGTTGAGGGGGGAGAAGGTCATGGTGGGTGAGGTCAAGAAGCTCTGGAAGCATCTCAGAACATGATCACAAGGCAGGGGCAAAGTCCAGGAAGCCAAGGGACAGTGAGAGCGTGTGTGGAGAAGCCAAAGCTCTGGTACCCTCTGGGTCCTGTTGCATGGCTTCTCGGCATTCCACTCCCCCAGCCCCAGGGCCTCACCCTCTTCTCTTTGAGCAGCAGCAGACAGCAGCCACGCAGCAGGAAGAACCTCTCCTGGAAGCGGTTTCCCAGCAAGCGGGGTGGCTCCTCGCGACACCGCAGCAGCCCCACCCGTGGGCTCTCACGCCGGACACCTGGGCACAGAAGGGCACTGCTGGGTGGAGGGCCCTAGAGGAGGCCTGGGGGAATGCCGGAGCGAGGACGGCTCACCTGTGAACAGGCAGCCCGCCTGGGCCAAGGAGACTTTCTTCAGGAGCAGGGAGGCTGAGCAGGGCTCTGGGAGCTGGCACCACTGCAAGGCCTGCTCTAGGACCTTTTCCTTGGGGTGCAGAGGCCTCTCTGAAAAGGCAAGGTGGGGACAGATGTCAATCAGAATATCCACGCAAGCCCGGAGTACCCAACTTATCTAAAGGTCAGGCATCCACGCATCTATTCAACTGTCCAGCCACAGACATTTCCTCTAGCACCAGCTCCATGCCAGCACTGTGCTGGCCCATGGGCACAGCAGTGAGCGTGACACATGTCACCTGCCTTCACAAAGCCACAGCCTGGTAGGGGAGCTGGCTACCAACAGGTAGGCAAGTAAACTAGTAACGGCTTTCAAAGAAACAACAGAGAGAGTTAACAGGAGAGCAACTGAGCTAGGCTACACAGTCAAGGCCTTTCAGAAGTTGCATTTGAAGATGAGATT